ATTATGTTTGATATGTAAATATAATTGATATATCTATGACATATGAACTTAAGTTGTATTTAACCAACAAAAAACGTTAAAGAAACAATACACAATTATGAGTTCAATGAATAGAAACTGATTTACTGTACACCATGAAATCAATTCGTCTGAAATAAGTCTGTAAGTTGCGAGAGTGAAAGTTCGTTAGTACAAATGCATTGAGGAAATATTTTGCAGGTAAGTACAATTTTGTATATGTGTTTAAAAGGATAAAACCACATCGAATGTCATCAAAACTTGTCTCCTGTTTGTTAAACGTCCCGAATGGAATAAGTTTTGGCATATTCAGAACAATAAATATAAAATACTAGAGATACCGTTAGGAAGGCTTACAAAATAATACCCCCTCTCCTTCCTTATTCATTGCTTTTGGAAATTAATTGACATCAACAACTAAATAAGGAGGGCAATTTGGCCATATGTTATAAAGATTCTTAGATTTCTATAAGTATCTTGGTTTCCTTAACGTAAGCGCAGAAGACCCTTTAAAACTTAAATTGACCAGACAAAAATATCTACAATCGATTGTACTCACTTTGACTTTTTTTACACTTTTTCAGGATTTAAACGAAAAAATACGAATGTGTCATCATATAAAAGGTGTTTCTCCAAATTGGCTTGAAATTGTGAAAAAACGTATAATTATCAAAGAGCTGGAAAGGAATGACAATTTTTTTACCTGCAACATTTATTTTTTGGAAACTTTCGGACTTCCTGGCTCACAATTTGCGTTGACTTTAACGATGTTTTTCCCTATGATATGAGTAAAGTTGGCTCGATTTTTGCTGATTCAAAAGGCTGTTATGAATTAAATACCGCTGATACGTATATCATTCTGTCGAACATCACAAAAAAAGAAGCCGCTGTATTTGTATTTTTCGTCCGGTCAATTTAAGTTTGAAAGGATCTTCCGCGCTTAGGTTATGAAAACGTACAATTAAGTCTCCAAAATCTTTGATGCATTAGTATTTGTATTTTATTTATTCTTAGTGTAAATGATATCTTTTAAACTTCAAGACAAGAAGCATGCTGAACGAGAGATACTGTCGGCTACTGTATATGACGATGATAACATTGGACACAGGTAAATTGCAAATATCTTATGGTTGTGACTTATTACATGCATATATTTCCTGCATTTGTTCTTGTATCACAATGAACAGAGTCTGATATGATTAAAATACAGTATGCGGACTTATATAGTAAAAGAAGCTTCCGAAATCGAAAATATTTTACCACAATGTCCTTTTTGGCTATAAGAGAAAACATTTAACACCTCGTGAGAATTACGTATCGCGTGATATTAACTCTCTTTATTGTTCTGTTGTCGTTGAAAATCTTAAACTCAAAACAGGAAAACCATTCAATAAAAGATGATGATATTGTAAGGTTTGTTGTAACATCCATAAGAACCTTATCAAGCAAGAAAACGAGAAAATTGAGCAGTTAAGAAATGACTTCTTTTGAAAACATTACAGTTTTCAGACTAGAAACAATACAAACATGACAAAGAAAGACATTTTCCTATATATTTGATTTTTATTGCAAAGGCCCCTCATTCTCATTTAATATTGGACAATGTTGAAAAGGAAATCTTTCAACAGAATTCACCACAGGGAACAATTATCATTCATGGATTTGATTTTAATACATGACGTCAAATTGTATTTAATGTTTAACAGGAAGCATTAGTAATTGTTTATTACAATTTCGTGTATATCATGATACGTATTGTTCTTTCCACTTGACACTATTTATTATAATACATATCATATATATAAACAGTTCATCAGCATACAGCCTTTCAAGAGCAGGAGTAACAGTTTCTTTTCTTTATTTGTATGGTTTTTTTTATGGAAATACCATTGTATCGGATAAATTTTAAAACATCATATTATGTTTGATATGTAAATTTAATTGATATATCTATGACATATGAACTTAAGTTGTATTTAACCAACAAAAAACGTTAAAGAAACAATACACAATTATGAGTTCAATGAATAGAAACTGATTTACTGTACACCATGAAATCAATTCGTCTGAAATAAGTCTGTAAGTTGTGAGAGTGAAAGTTCGTTAGTACAAATGCATTGAGGAAATAGTTTGCAGGTAAGTACAATTTTGTATATGTGTTTAAAAGGATAAAACCACATCGAATGTCATCAAAACTTGTCTCCTGTTTGTTAAACGTCCCGAATGGAATAAGTTTTGGCATATTCAGAACAATAAATATAAAATACTAGAGATACCGTTAGGAAGGCTTACAAAATAATACCCCCTCTCCTTCCTTATTCATTGCTTTTGGAAATTAATTGACATCAACAACTAAATAAGGAGGGCAATTTGGCCATATGTTATAAAGATTCTTAGAAAACTCTTAAGGTGGTACCAAACACCTTAACTAAAATTAATTTTGGCTCGTTTAATTTTCATAAAATTTTGACAAAATATTTACTTTGACCCTTTGACAAAAATATAAAAATTTCAAAAAAAATTGAACCACACACTTTATCGAGAAAAATTTCATTGGATACATAGCAGTTTGACAAACACTTATTTTTTATCATTGAGAAGCTTAATATTTCCTTAAACATAGAACGTGATTAAAACGTTCAGCTGATTTTTACAGAGTTATCTCTCTGTAGTGTTATGTACCCCCTAAATAAGGCGAAACGGATATAAAAGTGTACTGTAGTGTGAATATGATTTGCTGAATGGCACTGCGAAAATAACTCTTATGTAAAAAAAATTAAGAAAAATTCCCTGTTATCGCTTCAGAAAACACTGAAATATTTTAATCGGAACGAAATATAGTGTTATGTTATGAAGAATCTGCAAAAGTTTGATTGCAATCGATTGACTGGTTTAAGAGGAGTTGCGGATTGAGGATATACTATTCATGATATAATAACAGAGTGAAGTCGTTATTTGTGAATTGAAAACCTCAGATATCATTCTGCTCAAATAGGAGGCTCACAACACCGTTATGTTAAAAGGAATCTATAAATTCGATTGAAATCTATTGAATGGTGTAGAAAGAGTGTCGGATGGAGGATATTCACTCTATAATATTAAAGGGCAAAATCCACGTATTTGTATGGGAAACTCCAGAAATCATTCTAATCAAAAGAAAAAAAAGGAAGCACAATGACATGATGTCATGAAGAAACCGTGAAAGTTTGGTTGTAATCCATTTACTGGTATGTGATAAGTTGCGGATGGGAATGTTTATCCCTATATTATGAAGGGGCAAAGTCCATGTGTATATATGGAAACCCCAAAAAATCATTTTGATAAAAAAGTAAAGTAGGAGATGCACATTTGCATTAAGTCCTGAAGAATTTGAGAACGTCTGATTGAAAACCATTCACAAGTTTATGATGAAATGCAAAAGGGGAATGTTAAATCCCTTTTAATATAAAATTTAAAAATCTATGTTTTATTATAGAAACCAAAGAAATCATTCTGATCAAAAAGTATAAGAGGTCGTGCACAAGAACACTACGAAATAAAGATTATGTGAAAGTTGTAATGAAATTCATTCTTTGGTTTAGACGACATTGGTTCGAACCGACGGACAAACGGACAAAAAGACACCCCAATCACTATAAACCCCTACTTCATCAAGCGGAGATATCAAAATAATATGTAGGTTCTACAAAGTAGGTGCACAGGGATGAAGACGGGAAATTTGCAATATCAATAGAGCAAGACTGCATGCTGGAAAGGGACTGAAATTTTGCCATGCAAGAGGCCACACTCAGACTCCTAGAGAGTTGTTGCAAAGGCTTTTAACCCTACACGCGACGCCGAATTATAATTTAACACTCCTATTATGGCAGGACGTGGCTGCCTATTAATACAGTCAGCATATCCAAACCAGTATTTAATTAATATATTATTATCTGTTTGAAGGTATTAAGTATTATGCTGTATTGCAGTCTTGCATTTTCACAGCATACGTTTTCTTGTCATGTATCAGTACTAAAACTGAGCGGAAGCGCATACAAGTTTCAGGTTATCCGCCTGTCGAAAATATCTGCTTGTTTTTACTTAGGTGTGACAAATTACTTGATTACTTTGATAACATCTCAATACATTTACTACATTTACATGATTTACCTGCGATGCATGTCCGACGAGGTCCAAGTTTCAAATGTCAGATTGTCGGAAAAGAAACTGCATTTCAACGTTTAATGACAATAGTCATTGACCCACCTTCCCATAGTTGACGACTCCATTCTTTCAGTAGGACTGGCTTGACCAAAGCAAAACCTAAACTTTATAAAACAAAACTACAAATGTATACTGCTGACTTTGTTGAACACATCTATCCAACCGAATTTTAAATAAGATATACCACAGATACAGTTAAGTCTATTAATAGACAATGAGGGTCGGTTTAAGAGCAACGTTTTACGACAAATGGGATGATTTTAGCTTCCCAATTGTGAACTTTCCTTTTCTATGCTTGTACGATATTTCAGAGCTTGCGCTTTCTATAAGTATCTTGGTTTCCTTAACGTAAGCGCAGAAGACCCTTTAAAACTTAAATTGACCAGACAAAAATATCTACAATCGATTGTACTCACTTTGACTTTTTTTACACTTTTTCAGGATTTAAACGAAAAAATACGAATGCGTCATCATATAAAAGGTGTTTCTCCAAATTGGCTTGAAATTGTGAAAAAACGTATAATTATCAAAGGGCTGGAAAGGAATGACAATTGTTTTACCTGCAACATTTATTTTTTGTAAACTTTCGGACTTCCTGGCTCACAATTTGCGTTGACTTTAACGATGTTTTTCCCTAAGATATGAGTAAAGTTGGCTCGATTTTTGCTGATTCAAAAGGCTGTTATGAATTAAATACCGCTGATACGTATATCATTCTGTCGAACATCACAAAAAAAAGAAGCCGCTGTATTTGTATTTTTCGTCCGGTCAATTTAAGTTTGAAAGGATCTTCCGCGCTTAGGTTATGAAAACGTACAATTAAGTCTCCAAAATCTTTGATGCATTAGTATTTGTATTTTATTTATTCTTAGTGTAAATAATATCTTTTAAACTTCAAGACAAGAAGCATGCTGAACGAGAGATACTGTCGGCTACTGTATATGACGATGATAACATTGGACACAGGTAAATTGCAAATATCTTATGGTTGTGACTTATTACATGCATATATTTCCTGCATTTGTTCTTGTATCACAATGAACAGAGTCTGATATGATTAAAATACAGTATGCGGACTTATATAGTAAAAGAAGCTTCCGAAATCGAAAATATTTTACCACAATGTCCTTTTTGGCTATAAGAGAAAACATTTAACACCTCGTGAGAATTACGTATCGCGTGATATTAACTCTCTTTATTTAATTTTAATAATAACAATAAACTGACCAAAGACTCGTTTATTATTATATTCAAATCAATTAACTCAAGTTGATATCAAGTGATATATAATTCTCACTCGTTTTGATACCTATAATTTGAAAATATTCAAGCATGTGATAAAAAAAATTTATCCTAAACCTATAGTTTCTTACACCCACGTCAATTTTTCTTTGGTGGATAGTTGTCTAATTGGTTATCATACCATATCTCTTTATTTTTACAATTTAAATAAAGTAAATATAAGTATGAATCGGAGCTGTTATAACACATGCTAAGGTAGGTTTCTGCACCGTCAGACTTTCCTCAAATTGACAATATTGAATTTGTTTTTATTAAGAATAAGGTAATTACCATCGTAGAAATGACGTCCTGTCATAATGACCCTTGATATAAGCACATCATATTATAAACGATTCCAAATTGATAGTTTGGATTTACCCAGTAATTACCGTTTGAAACAATATTGTGTGACAATTATTGTCTGATTGGTTATTAAAGACGAATTTTTGAAAGTTAAAATAACATACTAAACAAGTGTATAGAAATACTCGTAACATGACAGAATTGAAAATTGTTTTAGAGCCTGAAAAGAAAAAGCCCGAGATTAAATACTGAAATTAGCTATTGTTTTGTAGGAACGATTTCCTTTCAAGACCTTTTGTACATAAATTAGGCCGTTAGTTTTCCCGTTTGAATATTTTTACATTTGTCATTTCAGGGCCCTTTATAGCTGACTATGCGGTATGGGCTTTGCTTATTGCTGAAGGCCGTACGGTGACCTATAGTTGTTAATTTCTGTGTCATTTGGTCTCTTGTGGAGAGTTGTCTCATTGGCAATCATACCATATCTTCTTTTTTATACTTAATTATAGCAAGTCGTTCAGATAATCTTGACAGGCGTTTAAGGCATTTGTGAGTGAGCGCTCTTCTCGTCCTCCGTTTTAGGTAAATTTTCATGTATAACATTATACTCAAGCCTAAATAACTTACAACGAAAATGAAATAACTTGTATAAAAAATAATTATAATGCGCATTAAAAGATTTATTGCGTTTAAAAATCCAACCTAAGCTGTAACGATGATTTATTGAATAAGAAATAAACTTGACACATATACATTGTGATGCCTTTTTTTCCTGGTAATGAAAATTTTGAGTTATCAAATCAACCTTAATCCCTAAAATATAAAACAATTGATTCTGACGCAAAATAATATTGTTAAAATATATTAAAAATATGTTTTTGTATTTTACGTTTCAAGGACAACGGAGTAGACTCTTACTCGCACTCCTAAATGTGAAATGTACACTTTTGGCAACTAAACCTTTACCTATTGATTGTTACCGAATTTTAAGATATTAATGGAGGGAAAATTTTACTGATGCAAACGAATGCGTTCTTTAGATCAGTAAATGATCCTTCCCGTGGATCTTTATAAATTGGAATATCCAAATGTATTTACACCTTTTTACCAATTTTTCTTTTATACAAAAGAAGAAAATATATCTATTTGATTCATACTATAACTTGTTTTACACTAAGAATAAAATATGCAAACCCATATAATCAAAGGGCTTCAATAGATTTTATTTATTATTGAAAGCAAACAATATATTTGTTAACAAAAATATAAGGATACTTTCAGTTTCAATGAAAACCCGATAGATGAATTTGTATCGACACTTGCTAAATTTAGTATAAATTTTAAACGATTATTGGCGGCCATGTAAAATCCTAAATGGCAAACAACTCCAATACCTTGAGCAAGAACTCGTTTGAAATTTCATACCACACAAATGTAAATTACATTTAACAGTACTATATATTGAAATTCAATTATTTTTCTGCTTCAACTTAAGAGCCTTAACTACAGGTTAAACACGTGCAGTTCTATACCAAAATAAGGACGTATGAATGGTATCCAAACACGTTGTAATACAATTTGTTTATAAGTTCTATAAGCATATATTTTTATTTCATTTTACAGTTTCTATGGCGAACATTACAATAACAAACGAAAAACCAGGCGCCATACTTCGTGGAATTGAAAATAACAATCTCTCTTTAGAATGCATATTCAACGGTGTTAACATCAGAAAAACTATTCTTTGGAGACACAACGACAGAGTAGTGGCAGTAGGTCGTTCTGGATATGTGGCGTATTCTTTTATTCCAACGAAAAAAGATCATTTGTCGGAATTCTGCTGTCAAGTGCATGATGCCAAAAAAGAAAACATTATAGAAAAAGTCATAACACTGCATATAAGATGTACGTTGAATTACTGTATTGTGTTTGTTCTGAAAGGGTAATTGTAGCAAAATCAAATTATATTGCAATTTCTGACAAAGCTACAGTAAATTTTCAAGATGACGACTAATAAATAAATATAAATACAGCACTAATAGAAAACACAAATACATTAATCAAGACATAAATTTTGAAAAGACAGTTGCGTCAAAAAATAAAAAACTAATAATTTGATAAATACATACAGGGCTTTAAAAGCCAAACAGACCTTATCAAAAGTTAAACTCGTATAACATTTATAAGGTTAACTGAGTGACTTGCCACCTCAACGTTTGTAAATATGCCTAATGTTCCGGACCTATTAACTGTGTGTTTATATAAAAGTAAGGAGATGTGGTATAAATGCCAATGAAACAACTATCCACCGAAGTTCAAATGAAGTGGATGTAAGCAATTATAGGCAACCGTACGGCCTGAAGCAATGAGTAAAACCCATACCGTATAATCAGCTATAAAAAGTCCCGACATGAAAAATATGATACCATTCTATTGAGAAAAATAACGGCCTAATTTATAACAAAACAATTTACGAAAAACAAATATGACAGACATGAACCAACGACAACCACTGAACTAAAGGCTCCTGACTTGAGACAGACATATAAAGAATGTGGCGGGGTTAAACATGTTTGTGAGCGCTCATGTTTGTATTGCAAAACAATACAATTTTTAGTGTTCTCTGCTTGTATAAGTGTTTATATGTTGTCGTTCACCTGTCGAATTTCTTTTGATTTGAAACGTTCAAGCATTGTCTCGCCTATTTCGATTTTTGATCTTTTAGATGTTTCTTTATTTCCTACCTGGTATATATCATCCTTATTATATATACAAAATATACAAAGTATTACATTTCTATCTTTGAGATGTTTTTTTTTTAGATAAGCCTGTTCTTGAATTTAACTTCCCAGATGAAAGACATTTTATCAAAGGAGAAACAAACAGACTGTGCTGTAGTTCTAACAGCAGACCTTCTACTAAAACAATGTGGTTGTTTAAAGACCAAAACGTAACAAAAGAAGCACATCTTACTAGCAGTATCTGTCTTACCTTGATGAATATAAGCGATAGCGATGGAGGAAAATATTCGTGTATTGCAGAAAACGAAATAGGAAAGGATAGAAAAGGAATTAACTTCACTGTCCTATGTAATAAAGATTTTTACACATGACACCGATCTTTGTTTGTAAAAAGGGAGGATATGTTATTTTTCAAAAAATATTTGATTCTGAAATTAAGCCTATAATTTGTTTCATTAGGGAAGTAATGAACATGAATATTTCTATTGAAAAGGATAAAAAAAAAAAGAACACCCCCACCAAAACATAACATTGATTTAAAAGCAATCATTTTACATTTATTCTTAATAAAATTGAAATAAAATGTTGTCCATTGATTGAAAACATGGTATCTACAAAAAATGAACGACAGATGAATAATACTGTACTACGCTTGGTTTTTTGTTTGAATAAGTGGCAGTATGCACATATTGTCTAGCCGTCAATTACTTGAAAATATTGTTAATCAAAATTAGTGAGAAATAATGAGGGATTACGAGATATAGAAAAAAGGAATAGTATGTATCCCCTTATTCATCCATGTTAATGAAATGTTGTTTTTTTTTTACATCAAAGCCAGATATTTGATTAAGCATGAACAAATATTTCACATCCAAGAAGAAATCTTTACTCATCGTTTGTGCTTTTAAAATTTTTATCTGCTTCTCTTATTAATATTGTGTCTCATTTATTATTAGAAAGTATGGTATTAATTTTTATAGTTGAAACAAGATTAGGTATATTAAGTAACATTTTTTGAAAACTAAAGATTATTGTTCATTTCATTATCACTTTATTTGTTTAAATGATTTACAGATCCTCCAATCATGGAAAAGCAATACATTCACTTTTCTAAAGACGAAGTATTGCGACAGTTGCAATGTTTTCCGGAAGGTGTACCAAACCGCTTTACATTTGGTAGGTGGGAGCACCGTTCATATTTCAATGAACATATAAGATACCTGAATTCTACGTCTAATGGAAAGCTTCTGCTACCTATTTTAAAAAACACGACCAGTAAATTTGATGACAGTGGCATATATGTTTGCAATGCAAGTAATGGAGTTCCCGATCCTCACGGGAATGTATTCCAGTACGGCGAACTTTTTGTTGTTTGGAAAGGTATGTACATTTCATTAGTAATTATCAAAGTCTGTGAATTTTAGTTTATTGCTCTGATTTCATCATAATCTGATTTGTTGGATATACAAACGTTAAATATTTAAGGTATTTGTCAGATATTGTCCTCGCTGTAAACTTAACAAAATTCATGCATTTTCGTTGCAATTGTCAGTTAGTTGTATTTTTAAAATGTTGTCTTTTGCACATAATTGAACAATGACACATTCATATCTGGTCAGACTCTTTCAAGCATTTAAGCATTTGTTGTTTACGCATGTATTAGTCATGCCTTAATACAATTTTAACCATATATTTTTATTATGTTAATAGTAAATTGTTAGATCTGAATAAAATGAGATGTCAAAAAGACAACGATCTAACAACCCAAATTAGTGAAATTGCAAATTAGAAAATATACCATTTACTGTGTTCAATGAAAAGAAGTTCAAGCTCTAAAAGGCAAACAGTTGTGTAGAAAGGTTTTTATCTAGAATATCAAGCAATGTTATTTATTCAGTTCTAGTCAGCTTTTGTTTACTACGGTAACCTTTTTTTTTCTTTCATACATAGATTTATTTTGATGACATAATTTGGAGACAAATGCAAACACACACACAAATAGATAAAAAGCGACATCATAACTTATAAATTCAAAGTATCTTATCATTTTTCTTTTTGTTTATTGACTTGTTAACTGGTGATGTATGCTTAGCTGGAAACTGTTACCCTGGCGACGCCCCCTGTCTAGCTCCTTTTGAATTTCATACGATTCCGTCGGTTCAGGCTTCTTGCCTTGATTTGTCTCTGTTTCATCGATTTACGAGATTTGAGCATCGGTAAACCCCTGTCTCTTTAATTAACGTATTTTATCATTATACTTTTCACAGGTCCTCCTGTTTTTGTAGAGGAAAACAAAATAATACAGTTTGGAAAATTAAGGGACAACATTAAATTAAAGGTGGTTGTGGTTGTGCACAATGTATCGAGCATTGAATGCAGTCATATTGAAGAAGAAAACAGTATACATTTACGGCATGATATAGAAATGAGTCCAAAAAACACAACGCATGTGTTTCATGGCACGAATACTACTATAGAAGGACTGGAAATTGTAATCAGCTTAGCCGTGCTGCAAAAAAGGGATAATAAGAAATATAAAATCACATTATGCAATCACCATGGAAATAGTAGTTTAATTGTAGAATCTAAATGTATGAATACAGGTAATGTCATTTTGCTTAGTTTCGTCTGTTACCTATTAATACATCGGACTCTGACTTTTTTTGAACTGAATTTTACCGTGGGTATTGCTGTGTGTTTGTTTAATCCACATTGGCTAGAGGTTAAGGGGGAGGGTTGAGATCTCACACAACATGTTTAACCCAGCCGCATTTTTCCCCTATCCCACGTCAGAAACCTCTGGCCTTTGTTAGTCTTGTATGTTTTTAAATTTTGGTTCATTATATATCTTTCGGAGTTTAGTGTGACGTCCATTAGCTGAACTAGTATACGTTATTGTTTAGGGGCCAGCTGAAGCCCGCCTCCGGGTGCGGGATTTTCTCGCTGTGTTGAAGACCAATTGATGACCTTGGGCTGTTTTCTGCTCTTTGGTCAGGTTGTTGTCTCTTTGACGCATTTCTCGTTTCAATTCTCAATTTTATTTTTAAGCATACCAAAAAAATAAAAGGTTTAACGTTAAGAGTTGTTATCCGTCCTTTTTCAACTTCCTTTTTACTTAATTAATTTAAATGTACTTTTTTTCTACTTCTGAAGTACATTTTAGGTCCTAACTTTTTCTTGAAAGGTAGATTCAAAATCTGTTTAAAAAGAACAAAAGGCAAAAAAGTCGGAAACTTAATGATTATAATGCTATGAGAAAGAGAGGCGAAGGATACCAAAGGGACATTCAAACTCACAAGTCAAAAATAAACTGACAACGTCATGGCTAAATAGAAAAAGACAAACAAACAACAGTACACAAAACACAACATAGAAAACCAAAGACTGAGCATCACGAACCCCACTTTGATTTGAGAAAGAATGCCGATTTCGTGATCCACTCATAATGCATTGTCAAAATCCTTAAAAGTTTGTGCTATTGCGTTGAAATGTAACCTTCCATGAAAGTGTTCTTACAATGATGAAAGAATGCTTACACGTATATAATAATGATATGTATTGTCACAAAGCTTTATAACAGCTTGTAACAAACACATTCAGATATGAAGATGTAGGGCCAGAAAGAAACAAATTAAAACGTTTCCTCTTTGTCTAGCTTATCTCCTGATCGAGAGTTAAGAAGAAAATGAAAATAAAAAATGGAACAGAAAAGCAGTGCCCATTGAGAGGACAAAAAACCTCGTATATCCTTAAATACAATGCTACAATTAAGGTCCATATTTCGTAATCTGTTCATACTTGCAGAAACTGAAAGACCCCGTGTACTAGGTTTTGGTGTGATTGTCCTGTCTTTATTGACTTCCATACTTATCATATCGGGAATAGTTGTGGGTAAGTATGAATATAAATATAAATACATTAAACAACATTTCTTTATTTGCAGGAATAAACACTGTACCTCTATATTGCGGTTTATCTTTTAGAATCTACTGAGCTAACATTAATGAGGCACATAATGAATAGAACATCGAGAATGTTCTTAAATATACGATTAAAATACGTTCTAGCTCACATGTCCAATATGTTAATACTTCTCTTTGAAACTCAATTGATCATCACATTTGCATCTTTCTTTACTAAAACTGCTTTGTCGATCTTGCATTAACTTGACAGAAACGCTATATTGACAGTCCTTTATAAAAAGTTCCAATTTTGTTTTGATCGAATGAGAAACATGACCACCACAATTAATCTTTGATTATGAATGACAAACTTTCTCCTTTGAATAATGGTTTGAAATATTTTGAAACTTAAAGGGATTGATAAAAACAAATCCATTGAAAGTAAAATCTGTCAGAAGTTTTCTCAATTTCATACGCTGACAGGAACATACGTTGATATTCATTTGTACCAAGTGATTTTGAACCTCCACTTATTTTCTTTTCTATTACAGCACTTGTTAAAAGATTAAGGAATAAAAGGTAGGAACCCTTCTTGTTCTCTCACTAATATCATATTCATATATCAATACTTTTTCTTCGAACGTAATTTTTTTTATAATAAATACTTTTGATACAAAGAAACTAGTAAGAGAGATCTTGTAATGTGTTTTCAGAAATGAAACTAAAAATAGGGGTTATCGGACTCGTTTTCTTGTTACAAAATAAAAAGAAAAAAATCACTGCACATTCCTTTATGAAATTTACATAAGCTAACCTTATATGTCGACGTCGAAAAAATTAAACAAAAATAATTCTGTATATGTAAAAACAGGCGTAAAAAAAAGAAAAAGAAAACAATTTACAGTCAGATGAAATTTTACAAAATGAATTATATTCATTTTCAAAAATGAGCACATTTCTTAACAAATGTAGACCGATTGTCAAGATGGCAGAAGACACCTGATCTACCTAAATACGTTTTAATCCATCATGTTAGTGTATCTTCAAATATCTCATAAAAATATAATAACTGATTCATCTCTTTGAAACACAAAAGAATGTAAGAATAAAATGTAATTTTCTTCTTTCAGAATACAAACTTCCGACAAAGCTATAGAAGTTGTGGAAGGTATTAATAATTAATCAAATGCAACTTTGTTATTCACTAATTCTAAAAAGAGGCGAAAGATACCAGAGGTACATTCAAACTCATAAGTCGAAAATAAACTGACAACGCCATGGCTAAAAAAGAAAAAGACAAACAGACAAACAATAGTACACAAAAAACAACATAGAAAACTAAAGACTAAGCAACACGAACTCCACCAAAAACTGGGGGTTATCTCAGGTGCTCGGAGAGTAAGCAGATCCTGATCCACATGTGGCACCCGTCGTGTTGCTCATGTTAGGACAAACCCGGTAACAAGTCTAATTCGGTAGGTCACATTCGTGAAAAGAGGACGGGATTGTAGTTACGAAGGGATGATTTCATCTTCACCATTTGGAACTCTTGTTTTAATAGCTTCCTTGTGAGCAGCAACCCTCTATCAAGGAAATCATGATAGGAAACACAAGCCCTTGAATATCGAAACAATTGGGAGATACATACTCCGTATGCAGGCGTGGCTGGAATGTTGCTACATAGAAATGGAAAGTTCACAAATGAACTTAGAAATATACACAAAACTATCGAAAATAACAATAATATATCATATCGTAGTTATTATATAATTTACTGTAACTATTTATTCTATGCAACATTTAGTATATTCATCGTTGTTTAAAAACGAAAATTTCATCACAGAAATGAAAGGTTATAAAAATATGTGATAGAATTATAAACAAATGCATGACCAAAGCAACAAGCGTAAAGACGAAAAGAGTTAAGAAAACTTTTCATATAGAACTACAGACTGACAAAAGAATCGCATTCAAAACATGAGATGCAATGGAAGGTAAGGCAGCCAAGAATATTGACCCAATCTGGCGAAAAGAAGAGAAATTGAAAGCCTATTTAATCTGCAAGCAGAGCAGCTCAAACCCTCGTAAGAATAGTATAGCATCTGCTATTTTAATTCTAAGTCAACTAGAGATTGCTAAGCTGTGCAACAGTGAACATCATTTTCAGTAGAAATTATTTATTTTTATATGTCTATCACATATAAAAGTAAACATATTTAGCAAAATGAAAATAATTAAAGAATACTCAACACTAATTGCCAGAAATAATTATATTTAAATTTGAAAGTATTTTGGATTTCATCTTTTAATCTGTATTTTTCAATCAATATTCTTATATACTACAGGTGGTGCAGAATCTGTGGAGAATGTACTTTATCAGTCAAATACATTTAGATTCAATGAGGCCATACATCGCAGTACTTTGTCAGAACATGCTACAGGTTCAACCAGTCAAAGGACTGATAGTTCTAATGCAGGTACATGTTAACTCAGTTTCAGTGGTTAAATGAACGATTCAATTGTTCCATATTTTTCATGTCGGGGCCTTTTATAGCCAACCATACGGTATGGGGTTTTCTCTTGTTGAAGGCCATATGGTGGCCTATAAATGCTTACATCCACTTCATTTGAACTTTGGTGGATAGTTGTCTCATTGGTCATCATACCACATCTCCTTATCTTTTACATATTAATCTTGATTTTTTTCTATCATACAGTGAGAATAAAAGCAACTAAGAAACACAACGTTTTATGAACCATAAAGGTTGTGCGTGTACATGTAATAAATTTTGTTTTAAAATATGATGTTTGTCGTTCCGAAACTTTCTTTTTTGTTATTCATTTGTGAGTACAATACAAAATTGATACTCCAAATATTTGAAAAAATTAACTCTAAAATTGCTAATGAAATATTTGAAATCACATTTTGATCCTTTATATTGAAGGAATTATACTATATTTTACAGACATGTCGAACTTAATATATTTGTTTTATCTTTTTTTGTAATTAATAATTAAATTCATCTTTCCTCAGAAAACCAAAGACCGCAGATATTAAGCAACAGTTTCCAGGTACCGGTGAGTCATGATCTTTTTACACTCTATTAAATTTTGGACTGTTACGATTTGAATATATTTCAGAAAAGATTTAACTTACAATTTCAAACCTATTTTTTTCTATTTTTGTATCAAAATTAAAAAAAAAAAGAATCAATATGCCTAATGTATTCAAAAGGGAAAAAATCGGATCTTGGTGTCTAAGATTCATAAAGCCAAAGTTGAAAATTTCGTCGAAGTACGAAAAGTGTGTAGTATTATTCAGTGAATTAAAATCAACGTTTATATAATCCACAGTGCATACACATTATCAAAACGACTGATGTACTCTATGCAGCAGTTGATTGTTTTCATTGAATAAATTGTATTTGTGAAAAAGCTATAAAAAGTTTTTTTTTTATTTGCTGTTTCACTATTTAAAAACATTGTTTTCTGAAACGGTCATTTTGATCTTAAAATCATCTAAAAGGCTGAACAATAAATCATCAAGTCATTTTCAGTCTTAAGCGTTTAGTTTATTTCATTTTAAATGACTGCAGTTAGTATAGTACTGTTCAGACAATTCGCTTGCAGTCAATTCTGTACTATTCAGAAACGTTTCAAACAATTCAGTATTGCAATTGACTGTACAGGTAAAAACATCTACCTAACAGTCTGAACATATAATGAACAGATCTTAATTGACTGCAAGTGAATGGTCTGAACATTACTGAATATACTGCAGCGGATAAGTCTGGAAATACCTTAATCTTAATTTTACTTAAAAAATTATTGTTCAGACTTTTAAGAGCTGTTCTGATGAAAATAACCATATCAGACTACAATTCATTTGCTAGTGTAAGCTTAGTGGTTCATCATGTCAATAAGAATCTTTCACGTTAATCCTTAGCCAAGCATTTGATCAATTATTGAGTCCCGAAAACAACAGCCACTGACAGGGAACTTTACCTAAAATATAATACGGATTTGGTATTAAAAATAAAATATGTTTTGCAAAAACAAAATTTGTTGTATTAGAAGAAAAATATTGGGTTGTTTTATTAGTAAGAATTTCTATGAATTATGAAGGCCAAAAATTAAACAGATTTAAATTATCAGAAAAGATATCAACATTAGGGTAAAATTGGTATATTTTCACAATAAAATTTTTTCTTTCAGTTTTCATTTATTTTTCAGACAAGACAGTTAAATTATGCAGATATAACATTTAAACCTTCTATACCTGGAAATGAAATGCGTATCATAGGAATTGAAAACAAAACTGTCTATGCCGATGTCGATTTAACACACGTGCAGACAGAGGTCCTGAATACGCCAAATGAATTAAATGGTGACGACGAAGATTTCGTTCAAATTGAGGATCTCGATACACTCAATGAATCGAATAGTGACGACGAAGATTTCGTTGAAATTGAGGATCTTGCAATATTTTCGCATATAAAGAATAAAATTAACGATGTTTAAGTAAAATGCAAAAACATTGCGCTTAGATATAGATTGAATGATATCACAATAAAATATAGATATAGCTTCCAATTTATTTCCTTTCAGTGTTACTTATGAAGCTTAACATGAAAAAGCGCATCGGCCGCACCAAATCTATAAAGTGTTATTTAAATGATTTAGATCTGTTGTTTTAAAAAATACGTAGAATTGTACCCTATGCTTTGTTGCATCCACTTTGGTTACCAGCTTTAACAGAATTTTGTCTGGTCAATGAATTACAAAATATAAGACACACAAACATGAACTATTTTTGTCAGAACGTTATGTTGCTTGGTTGTTTGACATTTGTTTTTGTTGGTTTTAGTTTCATTCAAAAAGATTGCTTTCCAACATTGTTTGTAGACACAAAACAAGTCTTCTCAATTGCATACGTTTGCTATGGTTTTGAGTGCGTTCAAATCTGGGATTTTTCGTTTTACGTTTGTAAAAGATATAAATATTCTTCAACATCATATTCTAAGAAAGTTGACTTAGTCTGAAACCTGAATCATGACATTTAAACTGTCTATTATTGATAATCAAGGGCTTTATTGAGGCGCCAGTCATTCAATTGTACTTTTTGATGTCAGTTTTAAATATAAGTGTATAATACTTATGCGTCCTTGTGAATGAAAGATAAGGAAACATTAAGCAGTGTGACCTTATAAGGCTTTTAAAACATTTAAAAGTGCGCAACCGGATTTTCATCCATTGGAAAATAAAGAAAAATCAGGTGCCCTGGAATATCATAAAAAGTAATTAACATTATGCTATGACAGATTGATTATGAAATGAAGAAATATATATTATAAACAATGACAAATAACTCAAACACTCGAAAAATCAAACTACTGACAAGAAAATTAGATGACAAATGATCAGTAAAACTATTTATTTCTATTGCTCTCACACGAATTGTTATTTATACATATATACCAGGAAATAATCTTTTGACAGGATTGTAAAAAAAAGTATATTCGGATAAAATGTTAGGACACTCAATCTATATTAAAATATGTGAGAAAACGTGAATCGTGTTACTTTATGTTGTAATTGAATGTATTGTTGGTTAGAAAATTCGAATAGTTTCAGATAAAAAAAAATATGATCCGATTCTATGTTACACATGTTATATAAGAAGTAAGAGTTATACTTACTAATATTGTTTGTGTTTTTACTAAATTAAAACATAACTTAATGGCCTATCATGTCGCTGCTTATATTTTGACATTGCACAAGGTCATACATTTTTATGCTGTTCAAGACGTCTATATACTAATTACATTGGATGACACTGATTGACATTTACCAAATCTGGTAAAACATAATTTCAACTATACGATCGTTCAACTATAGTGTAAGAAAATGCCAGTCTCTTAGATCAGTGCTTTGTTTCTTGTTTTTTTTTGTTAGTATTCTAACAAAAAACAAAAGAAACAAAGCACTGATCTAAGAGACTAGCATTTACTTACACTATAGTTGATGTTTAGTGATTCGTGTCAATCAGATAAGTCAACTCCTTTTCAAATGATTTTCGCAGTTTGTACAGCCATGGTCACGGGAAAGATTATGCGCTAATAAAAATATCAAACCCCGCCACATTTGTTGTGTGTCTGTCCATATTCATAAATCGGTATATTAGCGGTTGTTGTATGCAGTATATTGTTTTATTGTTTATTGTTTTATTATACATCAGTTATCTGGTTTAATCGTATGAATTTGTTACCATTTTATCATGTCTGGAATTTTTATCATTGTTGAAGGCCGAACAGACTAAATTATCATCTATGTTGACGGTTGTGTCCATAGAATGGTCGAGGTTGTTTTTAATAAATCTCATCATATCGATCATTTTCTAGACGGTCCGAGTTGTCTTGTATTAGGTCTTGACTAGGATTTGTTTTTGAAATGAAGAGTTCCAGTAAGGCGTCACTAGTGATTCTGAATGTGTTTTGGTATAAAAACTCAGGAAGTGCACTTGACTATACAATTTAATCTGTTCTGCTTTTACTCTTCAAAAACACATGAGTTCACTGCCGCATTTTTTTCTGGGGTTCGTGTTGCTTTATCTTTAGGTTTTGGTGAGGTGTTTTGTGGACTTGTTTCTCGTTCTTCCTTTTTTTCGGCCATGCTGTTTAATTTATGTCTTTGATTTACGGTTTTTGATTGCATCCTTGATACTTTGTTCTTCTTTTACAAAACATTTTGAGCTGACCGTTACGATTTCTATATTATTTCGTTGAGTAACTTGTTAATCTAATCAAATAGAATTTACCTTATTTACAATGTGATTCAAGAAGATATTGACAAATGTAATGGTTGTAATATAATTACGAGGTTTCATTCATGGCATTTATTGATAAAACTTACAAGGACATTCAATGGAGAAATAAAGAAGCTAGAGGCTCCAGGAAGCCTATATTTCTAGTATAGCATTTAGGTATAAAACTGATATAACGCAACAATATATTTGGGTTGATTGGAACTGTATAAATTCGTGTCTTCCTGATCGTTTTTGGTGGTCTGAGATATTGCTTATCAACTATAGTTGTCAAGATTATAGACACAAATAGACAACATGGAAATACATGGTGGAAATTATGATTAAGGAGCTTATTAAGAACTTTAATCATATGACTTTTATGCAAATCTTGTATTGCTGTATTGCTGAAAATTTTGGTTGTTCAAAATAATAGTATATGGTGGGGTGGGGGGTGGGGGTTAGAGCATTCGTTAAATACTGAAATTCTTATCATCCTTTGAGGGAGGATATAAGAAGTCAACTGACAATTTCGATCATCATGACCTAGGTTGAGATATTTTTTGCTGATTATTTTTATCTTTTATACTTTTAAATGCTCATAAAATGGGTCATTGAAGGTATTAACTCCATTAAGAAGTCAACAAACCTTTTGAATAATTTTACTTATTTTAAAATTTTTCCTTCCTGATTATCATAGTATTAAAATGTTTTTTAATAAACTTCTATAAATAGTCATCTGAAAAGTTTTTGTATTTCCCCTTACTCATAAATACTATTTTGCTGAAGATTTTTTTTATAGATTACTGTTCTCTCTATCTACTATAGGTTTCACCCAAATTAAAAAAATTTCAATATTTTCATGAAAGAGTAATAACTTCTATATATAGTCGACTGATGATTTCTACTTTTTGGACTTACAGTATTTGAATTTTGCTGTATTAAGTGTCTTTATATCAATTATTGCTTTAAAGGTTATAGCCCAAAATGCAAAACTGAGTAAAACATCGTCATTTAAGTGCAATAATTACTTAACTATTTCGGTAACTTTGATTATTTCCAGATCTTGTCTTACTGATTACTTTGAATTTAAAGTTTCTCTGTGTCGATTGATTTTTCAAGATAATTAAATAGCCAATACGCAAAAATTGTAATAAATCATAATTTAAGGGCAATAACCCCTTTAAGGGGACGTCTTTGAAAATAAGCTGAAATAGACAGTAAGTACATCTTGAAATTCTAATATTTTTACCGAGTCAAATTTTTTAAATACTAAATGAATAACAGAGAGTCGAATGATACCAAAGGGACATTAAAAATCACAAGTCAGAAATAAACTAACAACGCCATGGCACAAAGAGAAAGCCAAAAGACAGAAACAGTACAAAAAACACAATATTAAAAATAAAGAACACGAACCCAATCAAAAACCGGGGGTGTTTTCAGGTAAGAATTACAATTATACGCCAATGTTCAATTCTTATCATCAATGTCCAGTGAACAATGTTAAAACAACATTGTCGACATTGTGATATTTACAATGTTAACACGATATCGTGTCAACATCGTTAACATTATAAGAACTCTTATATACTGTTTACATCGTTGACAACGTTTACATCGCGATGTATACAATGTAGTAAAGATTTTGTGTTTACATCGCGATATTAACAATGTTAAAACGATATCGTGTTACGTCGTTTACATTGTAAGAACTCTTATATACTGTTTACATCGTTGACATTGTTTACAATGTAGTAACGATATTGTGTTTACATCTCGATATCAACAATGTTAACACGATATCATTTCAACATCGTTTACATTGTAAAAACTCTTAAATACTGTTTACATCGTTGATATCGCGATGTATACAATGTTTTATCAATATAGTGTTTACATCGTTTTCATTGCAGTGTTCACATTATCGTGTCACCATCATTTATATTGTATGAACTCTTATTTACTGTTTACATCGTTTATATCGTTAACGTCGTGATATTCACAATGTATTAAAGATATCGTCTTTCCATCGGTTATATCTACGACTAACTATAGGAGTTATTGCCAATTAGAGGTGACTTTACTCGTTAATTTTTCTATCATTGCTTATCAAACAGTTATATAAAATTTTAAAAGTGTTAACAAAAATCAATTATAGTAAGCGGTAATATGGCGGTAAAAATGCCTGAAAAAACTAAATATGAGTATTTTCAATTAAATACATTTCTTTATTTAATTCTTTACGTTTCTTATGCACAAAACTCGGTAAACAATATAAACAAGGTGTTGGCACGATACTGTCATTATCGCAATGTTGACAATGTGAACGATATAAACACAAAGATAAAGACTCGGTATACAATATCAACACGATGTTGACACGATATTGTCAACATAGTGATGTCTACGATGTAAACGATGTAAACCTACAGATATAGACGCGGTATAAAATATAAACACGATGTTGACACGATATTTTCAACATCGCAATGTTGACGATGTAACCGATGTAAACACAAAGGTAAAGACATGGTATACACTATAAACACGGTGTTGACATGACATTGTCAACATCGCGATGTCTACGATATGAAAGATGTAAAAACAAAGGTATAGACGCGGTATACAATATAAACATGATGTTGAATCGCTATTGTCAACATCGCGATGTCTACGATGTTAACACAAAGGAATAGACTTGTTATACAATATAAACACGATGTTGACTCGCTACTACCAACATCGCAATGTCTACTATATAAAAAATGTAAACACAATAA